AAATAGGTGAAAAATCAATCTGTCAGGATGTTCATTATCGGGCTATTTGCTAAAATTATTTTTAAAAATAAAAAAGAAAGAATGAAAGACAGGAAGAAAGAAAGGATAAAAGGAAGAAAAGGAAATTGAAAACAACAGATATGATAACATAGAAAAGTAGTTTAAGTCATTGGCTATTTAGTTAAGATTATTCAGTCCTTAAAAATTATGGTTATAAAAGCCAAAGAGTAATCTGAGAAAATAATTATAACAAGTATAAAATGCAGGATTCAAAAGTATATATATATATATATTATCTTAAAAAGCCATCTCTAGATAGGCATATTTTTATGTTTCATTTTGTACACTGCTATATTCTCAGCACCTTTCATAGCATATAGTGCATAGTAGGTGCTAAAATAAGTATGTGTTGTATGAATTTGTTGGTGAATCATTTAAAGTAAATATTGGAAGAAAATATACAAATTGATGCAATAATGATTCTATATTGGGATGTGGAATTATGTATCTTTTTAATTTGCTGACTTTCTGAATTTTCCCCTCCCTTCTCCCACTTTTCTCTCCATATATATCCTGTTAATATGCAATAATATATATTTTGCAGTCTCCTTCTACCCAAGTGCATATCACTTTATATTTACAACCTGGACAAAAGAGATCATTCTATGAAGAGGGAGCTTAGAAATAAACAGATTATATGTTTTAAAAAACAAAAATGAAGCATAGGGCAGTGTGTACTTTGTGTAGCTATAGTCCTGTCCATATCCAGGGACAGCTAGATAGCACAGAGAAATGACTTTTTTCTGTTTTAGTCATGAGCTAGTTTTTCCCATTGTAACATTATTCACAGCTAATAAAAACAGAGCAATTCTACTCGTTTTTAATGTTCTGCCAGTGCACATACTGCTAAGAACAATAAGTATGAAATAAATTCTCATATTTTTCTCATAGAATTAGTCTTTTACCATGAAGGTTGGCCAAGTCAGGCAAATTAAATCTAGACAGTAAACTACATTAGGCATGTTACAGGCACAGAACATTCTTGTAGATTTCCCTGAGCAGATTGCTTAAGAAAATCAACAATAATAAAACATATGCAAATGCCTCTGCTTTTAGTCTGTTTTAGTACTATGTGAGGTCTGGGCAGAGAACTGCATTGTGTTCAGAAACTCATAATTGCAGCTTGTTCGTAGCTTGATGCTTGTGTCCGAATGCAGTCTTTTTTTGTTTCATGATTATTCCTCCACATTCATTCAATTCACTTCTCCAAGAAATATGTACTTTGGTTCCTAACTTTGTTAAATGTATGGTCTTGGATGAGCTTTCAGATTCTTTTCGGCTTTAGTTTCTGTATACGATGGCAGGTAATATTTGTAATTATCTTAGAATTGAAGTTAAATGATGTTAGTGTTTGGAAATCCTTGTATATGATAAAACCTTCAAATAAGTGTTAGCTCTTTTAACTGTTGTATACAGCACTGTACACAAAGAATTTGATATTATGATGATTAAAAGATGGAGATCTGGTATGGTAAACTTTGAACATCTAGAGGTATCATTTATTTGCAAGACAATCTCTAAGATCCTCTGTAATTTCTTGCATGTCTTGTGAGCAGGAAACACTTGACAAATCTTTTTTCGTTCTATTTTCAATATTGATTTCAGGTTGTCTATAGAAATATGTGTACCTTAGAGAGATAGAACTGAGTCTTCTTCTCTGCAGAGCATAAACAGGTTTGCTTCATTTTATATTTATTTTTTCCATTATATAGGCATTAAATGTTGTAACTTCACGACCAACATATACATAAAAAGTCATGTCTTTCTCTTGGACAATATTTTGAGCAACTTTAACAGTTCCCACTCTTAAAGAAATGAGATTCTAAACTTAAAATTTCTCCCCCTATAATGCAATTCTTTGCATTGCCAGTGGCACCTGGCCTTCATCACATCCCCCTGTAGAATTGGACTCAGACAACCAGTGTAAATGCTGATATTTTGGCTATTGCCATTGCTGTAAGTAATACACTGTCCTTTGTTTCTGATCCAGGAGGTTTTTTCCTTCTGCTAGCATTCATGAAACTAAGGCAACCTAATTGTTAGCTTGCAATAGGATAAAAATGTCATATTCTTTACAATTCTTGACAATCATTAAGTGGAATTATCAAAGTATAAACTTAGTATAAAGAAAAATGTGTATATATGCATACACATGCTCTCATGTATGTAGAAAAAAGTGGAGGATGGCTAAATGTTAAAGGAACTTCATTTTACAGTAGGATATAGGATTAATATTCTATTAGTTTATTTAATTAGCCCTAAAAATCTTAGAATGAGAAACACACATAAGAATTGCCTAATCAAAACTACCAGGCAATGTGGAGAGCCCACATTGTCTTGCCACAAAGTTTTTCTTCATTGCATACTAGAATAACTGGTAGAAGGTATGTACTCAATGAAAAAATATATATGTATTCTTAATAAGTATAAAAACAAATTTACGAATACATTTATTGAGTAAATGTATCTTCTTTACTGCTTGGCAATTTCCATAATAGGACAAATAGTTCTGCATGGGAATTCCAGTCCATTGCTAAACATCTGTCTTAGGAAATTCTTCCTTACTGTATTATTCAAGGAAGGAGAGGATATGCTGTGATAACATACAAATCACAAAATATTAGTAATTTCATTACACAATAAAAATTTTTTTCTCCTTACATCATCATTTTATATGTTTCAGAAGTCTTGCTTCCTAGTGACTTTTCTTTCAAATCATATTTCAGGAATCTGGGGTCTTCCTATAATGTTGCTCTATCCAGGAGTAAAATGAAAGTGGCAATGTTATCTTTGGCATACTTAATTTGAACTAAAGCTTAATTTCTTAAACTCAATCCACTGATTCTCCTTCTGGCCTTGGAGCAAGCAAGCAACAACAGCAACAACAAAAGTTTATTCACTTTTCCACATAATATCATATGTTAAAATATTTATTTTCCTTAGTCTCTATTTTTTGTAGGCTAAATAATCATAATTTGCATAATCAGGCCTCATATGAAATTATTCCCAGACACCTTACCATTTTGATTCTTTTCCTTGTGAGCATCCCTTAGGTTGTCAATGACATTTAAGGAGTGGTACTAAGAACTAAATTTAGTACCTCAGATATCATGAGATAAACAGATTAAAGTGATCTTAATTTCCCATGATTTAAACTCTAGAGAATCCAATGCCTCTAGTATGTCATGAGAATTTAAGGACACCAGGAAGAACAATATTTTTAAATATTAACTGAGGTTTGCTATATTTCATTCGATTTTACCTTGCCACCTCGCCTCCATTTAGGCCATCGGACCAGGTGTTGTCTCAGGAGGGAGTAGCAACTATGGAAACTCGAGGACAAAACTAGCAAATTCCTGACTTTTAAGCTTTAGAAAAATAGTCACACAAGAATACCTGAAGATCAAGTTTTTCTTGCCTTTGAAGAGATAAGAACTCTCTGGGCTAGAAGAAATAGGGAAGAGTTGGACAGGAAATTGGAGAGTTTCATATGTGAGAGGTGACACTCCTGTCCTGTCCATTCCTCTCCTACCTTCACCCTTGGTGTTGGTTTTTGAAAAGAAAGAAGGAGCAGTAGAAATCTGTCATAAATGGGATTCAAAAAGATAGAATGCCTGTGCCTTTCTCCTCTTTCTGGCATGCTGAAAGACAATAGCCTCCCAAGAATGTCACCACAGAACAGGAAAAGTGTAGAGATGGCAACGTGGGATGTCAGGACTAAGAACCTGAAGCAACCACAGCTTTCCCCCCACTCCACCAAACAGCCTAATGTCATTTCAGGTGGGAGGAGAAGGGGAAAAGTCTGAAATGTCTAGCTTAACCTCACATCATTAAGTTTACCCAGAAAATGTTGAGAAAATCCTGAAACTAATGACTTCATTTATGCTTGACTAAAATTAACTTTTATGCTTTTAGGAAGACTGGATGCTGTAATAGGGGACAAATTGTATCTTAGGAAAATAGACTGTCAACTCTTTAGCATTTCCACAACACAGCTTGAAAATGTTCTGACAACTACAGATGATTTGCTCATGGATAGAAAAGGTACTGAATTTGGATTTAGAAAATCAAGGTTTAAATTACCACCGCTATGTATTTGGCCCTGTGATTGTTTCCCTCTCAGTAACAGTTGACCATGAAAAACAGGTACATATCTGAATTTCTCAGAGGCAGAATAAAGATATGAGGTTATGACATGCGATAAGTTCCTGGAAAGGGTCTGTAATATTGAAATTACCATAAGTATATTATATCGCCATTAGTCTATTTTTATCATATGGCTATGATCTAAAAATTAGGCTAAAAGGAAATGTAAAGTGATGTGATATTACATTTTGATATTCGGTGTACAGGGACACTCTTGTTCAGTGAATCTCCAATTTTGATCTGCAGATGAATGAACTGGAGTATCTTATCAAAATCCAGGTTTAGATTTAGCAGGTTTGGGCTGGGGCCGGAGATTATCCACGTCTAACCTAGATGACTACAATCCTGCTAGACTATAGACTACATTTCAAGTAGAAACGCTCTGGTTAATGACTACTTTTAACACATTTCCTGAGCTTGATATAACAATTAATATTCAATATCATATCTCACACTGTGCAAGAATAGATCCCACATTTCTTTATATCTACCATCTGTTCACATCAAGCATCTCATATTCTCAGCATATCTGAAGTTGATGATGTCATGACCTGATTATCAAATGCTCTGAAATTACTTTATTTTTTTAATATTTGTTATTATCCTTACAGAACATGGTGTGCTTCCAGAAAAAATATAAACAAGCAGTTCAGTCTTTGAGAATTTATGAGATTTAATATCACAAAATTGGCAGCAGACATGACATTATTTCAGTTATTCACTTTTAAGAAAGAACAAAATTTATATTTGGATACTACAAGTAAGAAAACTCGGCAAATATTAAGGCAGTAGAAGTTCTATTTTATTTTAGTTAGTTTGTTTGGTTTCTCTATCCCTGTCTCCTTGAGATTTCGAGAAGGTGCTGTATGTAGGCGGCAGGTTATTATCACCCTTGGTTCTGTCCTTCTAGTGAAGACCATTGCCACCTAGAGAATAAAACATCATCTTAGATGTTAGACTTTAGAGATGACATTGTCTCTTCAGCTGCTATGAAGAAGTTACAGACAAGAGATTGTGGCTTGTTTCTTATAAGAGAATGAGTAAAATGATCTAGAACTGCGAAAATCACACACCAACTTTCCCTAACCCCCTGCCCCCTACCTTTAAGACAAAGTACACATACTGGTTAAGAGGACTGTGGAAAAACATTGTCTCAGTGGATAATGTTGAGCAAATGACTCAATCACTTGGTGCCTCAATTTCCTAATCTGTATAAGACAATTATTGTTCTCACATAATGAAGCTTTTGTGAGGATTACACAAATTAATGTGTGTAAAGTACTTAAGACTTGCCTAGAATATTGCAAGCACTCTAGAGATTAACTATTATTATTTTCACTATTATTACTATTACTTTATTCCCTTTTCCTGAATACATTTTTGTTATGGTTAGTTTCAGAAAGTCTGCCCCTTGCTCTACTGCCTGGATGCACTTGATTTTTCAAGCCCTCAAGATACTAACATATGAAGGATCAGCTGCTATCATTTATAGTTACTTCAGATGATATATATCTTCTGAAATCTTAATAGATTTTACGTTTTTCAATTATACTACAATTATACTAAATTATAGAAACTGCTGTCGTTAAAATCCTTAGAAAATGAAAAAAAAATTTCAAAAGTATTACCCATCACATTCAACATTTTGATATTATTTTGCAGATAACAAAAAAAGACATCTATTTGAAGATATATAATATACTTAACAAATAAGTTAATTAGGCAATTAATCTAAAAAATAATGTAAGGTATATTTCTCATGTAAAGTTCACATTAAAAACACTTAGCATCTGTGTTCTTCTTATTTTATATTTAAAGAGACCAAAGCAAGAACATTTATAGATTAAATAGCCCACAACATTCAAATATCACAGAAAGAGTTGTTAAATTCAAATTAAGTTCAGCAGGTTTATGTTCTGTACCTACCTTCTGTGGTGCGTGAGTCACCAAAGAAGTATCTAACTTGGCATTTTCTTCATGGAACTTATCTTTTCATTAAGGAGACAATTATTATAATTAAAATCATCAGAGCCAAATAAAGAGCAATATTAATAATTGCATGCAATCAAGTCTCCAAATATTAATATAAGGTACAGGCAATACAAATTACAATGATGTAAAGTAAGTCAATTTTTAAATGTTGAGATTTACTTCCTAAAGGAGGTGCTACTTATAATGGGCCTTAGAAATAGGTGAGGTTTTGAATATATTCTAGGAATCTAACTCCTCTGGGACAATAATGTTAAAACATCCTCTCCAGCGACCTATTAATACAATGAAAATGAAGTAGGCAGCTGAGATGCAACTAAGTTACTTTTAGGATTTGAAGATGTATGCACATCTCATTTTTGGATCAAATGCAAAACATGAAAGAAAATCTGAAAATAGCAACAGCAGAGGAGTACATTTTTTCATAAGTTATTGGTCTTCAAGGTGGCTCCAAAAAAAAGGTTTCCTCAAATACAAAGACTTTTTTGTGCTTATTAACATAAATCGCTTATAAGAATTGTGATTTTTCTCTCAATGTTCTCAGCTGACACCTCTTTGCAAAGTGTGATTGCAGCCCATAGTCCCACTTTGCTCCTAGTGATTGCTGGAATCAGTGTGGGGCAGCTTTTCCTCTCTGCTTGCTTGCTTCTGAACGACAGCAAGCTGGGCCTTTGGCTTCATTCATTCTAAAATATTTTTTCTTTTTATTTTTCTTTCTTATTTTAGAATATTTAAATCAAATTATAAAACTAATGTATTGAAAATGAGAGATAAATATAAACCATATCCTTCTGGTTGCGCGATTTGGAGCATCTTGACATCTTTTCAGCTCACCTCAATATTTCCAAACTTGGAGTCCTCTATTATTAAATATAAATATACTAGTATATAATATAGTTTATATGTAATATATGCATAATATATTATACATAAATATATAGAGAATATATAATATATTGCATATAAATATATAGAGAATATCTCTGGGAATAATATGTATGTACATATAAAACATACATTTTATTATGTGTATATATATATATATTATGTCTGTGGGCTAAGAAATCCTGTAACTCTAGCTAAAATTATGAAAAAATTTTATTATAAAATTATGAAAGAATGAAATCCCCCACTCAAGAGAGTGTGCTGACTATTTCAGGAATATGCTCTAGTGGTAAATAGAGATATTAAGAGAGTGTTGTGGGAAATTCTGGCTGGGCTCCATGTGAGTGAGAAACTGTGAAGCAGGTACTGGCTGTCATTTGCTATGTGTCTCTGCTGAATAACCAAAAATATTTAAAGTCTCACTTTTCATTAAATAAAACAAACTATGAAGAGTAAAAGTAACCTCATCATTAATTGTTACAGATGGAACCCCAGTCTCAGAGTCTTTAGATAAGATCTTCCACTTGTAGCTAGCACCATCCATTCTAATCTAACAACATTATGAGAAGAATTAATAAGAGAAAGGACCACTTTACCACCTGTTGTAAAATCATCAGAAAAACTACCACTTTGAATCATAGTACAAATAAAATCTCTGCAAGAAGCACTGTCTAAGGATCAGAAAAGGGCCCAGAAGCAAGTACTAAGACATTCAATATTTAAAGTTTAGGTAGAGGATGTGTTAACAAAGGAAACTGAGAAAGAATAGCCAAAGTGTATAGAGATAGATTAAAACAGGAAGATATCATGGAAGTATATCAAGTGAAGAGAAACTTTTAAGGCAGGGTTAATTCACCATAATTTTGGGCCCCCCACACCAGATTTCCTAGAATATTCCCAAACTTTCCAGCTGGACTTTAGTGAGTTGAACCCTCCTCCCCAAACTAATTTTATCTGGAGGAGTAAACCGCATCACTTAAAATGAGGTTTAAGTAATGAACTTTCAATTTGGCAACATGTCCGTTACTGATGACCTTAATAAGTTTTGATAGGGTGATGGGGTTGAAGGGAAACGGAAAAGTGTAGAAATGTGAATTAAGGGATTTGAGCATGGTGGAGAAGATAGGATGCAATAGTTGCAAGAGGACATGGATAAGCAGGTTAGAGAAACATAGTAAAGTTACGACACATTGAGGAGGGACTGTTTAATGCAAATGATCCTGAAGAACAACGCAATAAAGTGATCTTACTTCTGTACCTGTGAGTTTTGACTTACAGGTTTTACTTCTATCCCATTGGCACCAATGGAAGCACTCTTAGGTCCAGGCAACCAGTTTCTCCCTGGTCCTGAGCTTTAGAAGACCTCTCATGGTCCTTCTTCCTATGGTGCCTCTCCTCAGAGGAAACTGTAGGGGAAAGGAGACTTGCTCAGCAAAAGCCTTCTCTTCCTCTGCTCCATTAAACTATTATATTAGTTTCCCATTGTTACTATAACCAATTATCACAAACCTAGTGGCTTGAAACAATGCAAATTTATCTTATGGTTCTGGAGGTCAGAAGTCCACAGTGGGTTTCACTGCTGTCAGCAGGGCTGTATTCCTTCTGAGGAGTCCATGTTCTTGCCTTTTTCAGTTTCCAGAGGCAGCCTGCATTTCTTGGCTCACAATTTTCCATCTTCAAAGTCAGTAGTAGTCCGTGGAGTATTTTTTCTTATTTTGTGTCATTATGAAACTGACTCCTCTATCTCTTGTCTGCCTCACTATGAGAACCCTTGTGATTGTATTGCCGTCCCCTCCCCCCAACCAAGATTATCTTCCTATCTTAAAATCCACTGATTGGAAGCCTTAATTCCATCTGTAATCTTAACTCCCTTTTTCTAAGTTAAGATAATATATTCATAGGTTCCAGGGATTAGACTGTGGCCATCTTTGGGGGAGGGGCACTTTTCTGCTTAGAACAACCGTATTTCTATACTCAAGACCTGCAAATATCCTGCACAGATGGTACAGGCCCGTCTCTTTAGAGCCATGATTCCTAGAGCAATCTGCATTATCATTGGTCTCAGTTTAGGCTAAAGGCCTGGTCAAGTGTCAGCTCTGTGGTGGCTGAAGGGATTTGCATACATAGGTTTAGATGTCCCTATACATGTAATATAGGAACCAGATGTTCTCTTACACTGAGACCCCAAATTAAATGCAGGCCTAACTGTCAGCATTCAAAAATGAGCTCTCCCCTTTGGTTTCCTATTTTATTGCAAATATATTGGGAAAATCCATTTCAAGATACTCCTCCAGATAAAACTAGTTTTGGGGGTCCACCTCACTACACACCAGTTGGAAAATTTGGGAATATTCTGGGAAATCTGGTGAATGGGGCCCAAAAGTATAGTGACTGTGAACCCATGATTCTGGAGTTAGTAGCGTTTAAGGTCATTTAGGATCAGGTTCCACATCAGAACTGAACCAGTTGAAAGGTAGAGTAGTGTGAAAGAAGAAGAAAAGATAAAAGGGTAAATTCTGAAGAATTTTAGCTCAGAAGTGCATATAATCAAATCCTATACCATTGCTATGTTTTCCAAGTAATTGTGACACCTGCACATAGTAGAGATGATAGTGAGTACACCAGTGGTCAGATCACATTTTCTGATCTGAGTGAATCATTCTCGATAAATGCAACTAGCCTACATCCACCCTACCATGACTTCTTTTCTGCAACTCCAAGTTGATCAAAGGATGATCTGATCAAAAACTTCTTTTGCACATGTGCATGTATATGCATAAGTAAATATGTATGAAGATGTATATTTATGCTTATATGTGTAATGTGTGTATGCATGTAAATACAAATATGTGTTTGTTTATATGTCATTATTTTAGGATGAAGGAAAGAACTGAACCAAGAACTGAACCAAGACTAAGAGACATAGAACTTTGGTTTTAGAAAACTGCCACCAGTTCTCTAGAAGACTTTAATCAGACCATGTTTGCTTATCTTTGAAATAGGATGTTTTAAACTGATGATCCTTTTGATTGTTTTTCCATTCTAAAACCCTAACTATCTACCTGAGAGAAGTCAGGTATATCTGCTTTCCCACTAGAACTCCAACTTAGCTTACGTTTGTAGGAATTATCCTTATTTTAATTAATGACCCCACTAAGACTGTAGCCTTTGATAAGCTATTTTCTTTTCCTATTCTACCCATTCTTCTATGTTCTACTTCTGGCCAGCATTTTCTTCCATCAGTAAAATATAGAAATAAAAAGAGGCATTCATAAAAGCATGTTGCATTGTAGGAAGATTTTGCTAAACATCTTCAAACTTTTAGTTTGACTTATTAGTATCCAAGAACTACATCTTTGTCTTATAATAAATATTGACAACACTAGAAGCTATATGGGGCACATGAAAAATGTAGTAGTTGAGGGTTTGGTCATGTTGAATCTAGTTCTGGCTTTATTTTCTCATTTAAAAAATGTATACTAAATATCTTCTAAATGTTAGATATGAGGATGAATGAGCTATAAATGATCTCTGCAACAGTCTAGTAGAGGAGACAGATATTGAAGTCATAATCGTACAAAAATAATTAACTACAGATATCTTAAGTTATTTGAAAACATTTGGAGGAGTTAAGTGTTTGAACAGGAGGTTTGATGCTGAGAAAGATCTGTCCTCACAACTAACTCTGTGGCCTCATTCAGTCACTTTACACTCTAGGTCCTAATTTATTTTTCACATAACAAGGACCTTCTCATTCTAACATACAACAGAAGGCTTGAAACAGAGTTTGTAACATGTCCCATGTTCTAACCTTGACTAATTTCAACCCTGTGAGTTTGTAAGCTCTTCAAATAGTTTTTTTCTTCCCTTATTATACTTTATTTATTCAATGAATGTTTGTTAAGCTAGGCATAATATGATTGAAATTCAGAGATAAAAGTCACAGTCCCTGCTCTCAAGCAGCCATGGTCATGTTGGGGAGATGCGCAAATAAGCAATTTCAAATCAAGTAGCTGAATATTATTATGATGACAGCAATACTGATAGAGTTCTGGAGTTGCCAAGAATAGAGGCATTAAAGCTGGTCTCTACTGGATGTTTTACAAGACAATTACTTGAAGAACAAGAATAAGCTAGCAAGTGAAGAAAGAGAGGGGATGTGTTGGTGCAGATGTTCTGCACACTTGTAAAATGACATGATGGTAGGAGATACTATAGCTCTTTCCTAGAAAGGGAGATTTCAATTCAGATGGCTGTTGAACAGTTTCAGGAGATAGTGTCATACGCATTGGCTACAGTTTGAAAGTTATAAAGTTGAGACTATAGACTGTGGGGAGCTACTGTGAAATTTTTTAAAAGAGGGATGCATCATCTGTCGAGTCTTCAGTGGCTGGATTATTGAAGAGTAGGAATATAAATTGTGGAGAAAGCTCAACACGGGGCCTGGAAATCCGATAGGAACCTCTTGCAGGAGTCTGGGTTAGAGATGCTGAGTGAACTAAGGATTATAGCAACAGAGATAAGGAGATGAGGGGAAAGAGTCAGTAGAAATGTAAATGTTGGGATCTTCTAGAGAGAAGCTGAATAGATGAGTCTGGAACACAGGAAAGGGATCTGACCAGGAGATGTCAACTTGGAAAGGCAATGAAACATTTAAGGTAAATTCTTATATATCTTATTGATAGGAATATTAGCTCACTACAAAGAACACAATTTAAAGTCCAAACTGTGCAAGCCCTTAATAAATATGTTTTTAATATTCAGTTCTTATCCAATGATTATTGTTTGTATGTTTGAGTGTGTGAGTGTACTTGTATGCACGTGTGCATTGTGTAATTACGCATACACACATACACAATTATGTAAACATTAACAATATTAGAACTGTACGTCTGTATTAGTCTGCTAGGGCTGCCACAACAAAATACCACAAACTGGGTGGCCTAAAAAACAGACTTTTTTTTTCACAGTTCTGGAGTCTAGAATTCCAAAATCCAGGTGTGGTCAGTGTTGATTTTAGGTGAGACCTCTCTTCCTGGCTTGTAGACCGCTGCCTTTTCACTTGCTTATTAGATGGCATTTGCTCTGTGCCCTTGCAGAGAAAGAGAGAGAGATATCTCTGGTATGTTGTGTTCTTGTAAGGACATCAGCCATTTCAGAATAAGGTCTCACTATTATGACTCATTTAATCCTAATTGCTTCCTTAAATACCCTGTTTCCCAATATAGTCACTTTGGGGGTTAGGGCTTCAGTATATGAACTTTCAGGGAGAGACAATTCAGTCCATGACAACATCAGTACATTTGACATCCAAACTGACTGACATCTTCTCCAAGAAAGGACAGACTGTGAAAGTAAGAGATTGTTCTGAGTCATAAAAGAGGATACCTTTATATGAGGATATATATATATGTGTGTGTGTGTGTGTGTGCGTGTGTGTGTGTGTTAAAGGTCAGAGCTATAGTTCGCTCATTTATTGAGTATAATTCATTTCTACTGATTATATTGGAGTTCGATTATATTCCTACAGATTTCTTTTTTATTTTGGAGAATCTTATAAGCCACTTGCAAATAAATGAACATTTAAATAGTAGTTTAATGGATTTGATCAATTATTTTCTATTGCTCTATGGAAATCAGGCTGTAAAAGCCAGAAAAGGTGGACGTTTCACAAGAATGTCATACCGTAAAGGTATAAACTTAAAGCGGATATTACTTGTGTTGCATTCTTGGCATGTGCGCACTTGCAATGTTAACTTTCACTTATGGTTATTTTCAATGTGGGAGCTAATTCCTGTGTACTTTGCGTCTGCTCTGCTTTACCTCTTTGTATGCCTGGCCTTCATTTGTCCCTAGCCTCTGGGCTGGTGTTCCCTATAAAAGCTCCTTGGTGTTGGCAAGCCCTCGCCCTGGCGGCCAGGTGACAGAAACTGGGTGAGAACCAGCTGAGCTCTGAGGGCGCGGAGCTTTTGCATACCATTCCCCTCCCACCACCATCCCATGCTGGGAGGCGGAGAGGGCTGCAAACTTCTCTCCAATCCGCAGCCGGCCCTCCCCGGGGTCCCCCTGCTGGGTGACCCGCCCGCGGCGGACTGAGTTGGAGGAACTTTGCAAAATCTCGGCCTCGGAGCCTGGGGAGGCGAAGTGCTCCTGCTCCTCCCCAGCGCTCCCCTCCCTCTGCCCCCACCTCCCGGTCCTCGCCCAGCCGGGAGCGCTGGTGATAGGACGAGCCCCGGGCGTGCATTGTGTATATGCAAACCAGAGGCCCGGCTCTCCGTGGCTGCCTGACCCCGGCCGGGCTGCGGCTGTGACTGGCGCTGTCGTGGGCGCCGCTGCCCTTGCCGGAGCCGGGCACTGTCATGCCCCAGCCGCGCAGCAGGCGGCTGCGTCCTTGAGCCGCTACATAAGCGCGGGCAAGGGGGCACCCGGAGGGGCTGAAGATGAAGGTGCCCGCGCATGGGCCCCCGCTGATTGCCAACCCCTCCCGAGCCCGCGCCCCGCGCGGAGCCCGCGGCCGCCGAGGACCCGCCTTCGCCGCAGTAGCAGCTGGAGCAGCAACAGAGGCGGCAGCTGCGGCGGCGGCGGCGGGGCCGCTCTCGCCAGCGCGTAGAGAGGCGGCGGCAGCTCGGGGGCCGCCGCTGCCCCGGCTGCCATGAGTTGTGCGGCGGTGATGTATCACCCGCAGCCGTATGGAGCGTCCCAGTATCTGCCCAACCCTGTGGCAGCTGCAACCTGCCCCACAGCCTGCTACCATCCGGCGCCCCAACCTGGCCAGCAGGTGAGTCACCGACTGGGCAGCCTGCCGGGGGCGGGGGCGAGGGGCACCGAGAGTATCGGTCTGAGGCTCTGGCGACCGGTTGCGCGGAGGATGCTCTGGGACCTGCGGGAGCGCCCGTGAGCAAAAAGCCATGCGAAGAGAGGAGGAGGAGGAGGAGAGGCTTTGGGAAGGGAAGAACAGCGGGGTGCACTGGTGGGCGAGGCTTTACCTGGCTGGGGGCTTCATTGAGCTGTTGTCACCCGAGCTCAGAGACAGCTCCTCATAGCCACCCTAGCTCTTAGGACTCAGTTCTCTGAAGCTCACCAAGGGCATCTGTCTTAGGACTATGTGAGTAAACTTCTTTAAACATACGATTTTGTTTCCTTTGGAAAAGTAGAGTGTTTCAGGCTTTTCTTGATTAGGAGAATGAAGTGTGTCACCGAGGTACGGAGGCTACCTGGACAGTGAGTTTATGAAGTGATCTGAGACTTATGGTGAAACAATGGTCTAGTGTAACGTCTGTTAGACGTTGCTTCAACTTCTCCATAGAGTCTTTCTCCCTAAGACTGTGGCTTACAGGACAGAGATGGATTGCAATGTTATTCATTCATTTTCCAATCCCAGCAAGCACAGAGCTTGTTGTAGTAAGTGTTCAGTCTGTTGACAGCACGTCCCCGAGCTTAGAGGTAACTTTGGATCTCTGGGTGCTGGGTCTCAGTGGTGCCAAGAGTAACTGAAAATATCCCTTAAAAAGGGGCCGAGAACTGGGGCAATGATATAGTTACTTTAGAAAGCAGGGTAGACAGAGTTCCGGGGAATTTGGAACCAGGTGCCTTTGGACATTACTCTCTGGACACAACAAAGAGTGTGCCAAGGTTTAGCAAGCGCTACATAAAAAAAAAAAAAATGTATGTATGTGGCAAGGGGCCATACAGTATAGGGACTTCCTCAGATTATGGGAATTAGGGTGAGTTGATCTGGCAAAGCTGAAAAAATGCGACTAGATGTGGTTAGAAAATTATTATCCATAGAATTTGTTGATTTATTTATTTTTCAGTTTTTTGAGAACCATGTTTTGTTGTGGCTGTAAGGATTAGGTCCTTTAATTAATCTGGCCTTTTAATTTCTATATTTCCTCTACTTCTGTCTCTTTGCTAGAATTATACTGCTACTCTTTGGAAAGAAATCATAACTTTCTGTTTAGAATTTAGGGGCTGTGAAATTCAGCTGATTCTGGAAGGGTACATGCCCCAGATTCATCTGCTAAACAGTACCAGCTTAAGTGGGACCAGTCAGGGCAAAGTGAAATTAGCCTCACTTTCTTGCTATCTTTTTTTTTTTTTTTTAAATATTCAGCAACTTTAGCATTTCAAAGCAAAATGGCTTTTCCGGAGGGGAATGGGGAAGCATTTTGCAATTTGTGGTCAAGGGTGACAGATGAAAACATTTTGATTATGCTGTTTGTTTTTCTTTAGCTTTAAATATAAACTATATATATATAAGCAATGGAGAAAACAGTGAAGGTAAAATCAGGCAAGTGACGGAAAGAGACCCTAGTTTTTGCATTTTATAAACACTCTGCCCCAGATGAAGCACTCTTTCCTTGATCTCTGAGACTGTAGGGGCCTTCAGTTATCAGTTGGAATGTGGACAAGCAACAGACTCAGCATTACTAAATATTTGGAAAGATACTTTCCCTCTTAAAAAATTAGAAACTAGTATAGAAGTTTCAAATAAAATTTTATATTTTAGAGCTGTCAAATTAATTCCATTGAAATATGAATCTACGGTGGGAGTTAGTATTGTAAGACCTGTTTTGAACTAGAAAATAAAATTCAGTATCAGAAAAAAATTACAAATTACCAATCATAAAAGTTAGTTTTCCGTAAGAAATTGCTCTAAATATTTTATCTAACTTTTGCAACAGCCTTAATATTCAGTCCCCAAATTCCATTCTTTTGCTAAATCCATCAAAACACTGAAGAATGTCCTTTTTCTTTTTTTCTAAACCTGATTTGTCTATGTTGATGAGTTGTACAATGATCAACATCTATAATATTTTGGAATTTTGTAGACACCGTTTAAGTAGATATTAGGCTTACTTGATCATAGAATTTAGTTGAGAGGTATGCTTGGAAATTTTCATGTTGCTTTTACTAAGATGGCTTAAGATTTCTTTTTCTGTCAAGTAACAAAACTATTTGACCATAACCAGCCAGCAAAATAAAAAGAGACTTGACAGTGTAACTACTGTTCTTTTACTGTCAGGAGTTTATTTTGATGACCTACATTTTCTATTGGAAAAAAGAGTAAATCAGGAAATTCTTATCAGGCTGACAGCATTTTTAGACTATGCGGTGCGTGGGTGAAGTGGGACTAATATTGACTTGGCCCTAATGCTGTCATCCGAGAATACATATTTTGGTTGTTTTTGCATTCCATAAAGTTTTATCATTATTATCCACGAAGATTGTTTTCTCCGAACATGGGAAGTGACCCCTAGTAGTAACTTGCCTGGGAGACAAAAATAAGGGCACAGCTACCAGTGCATTTGAAAAAGTAATTTGTTGAGGGGGGGAAGAAAAGAAAAGGAGCAAAAAAAGTAAGAGAGTTATCAAGAAAGTTCAAGAGTAATTTATAAAATGCTAGAAAAGAGAGCATTAAGTTTTGTATTACTTCTATATTCAATTGTAGTAATGTATCTTTATTATAAGATATAATTGATTTTCCCCTCAAATCTGTTTAGCTCTGAAGACTTTATAAGTTAGTGTATGGTTCATTATGATGGATTTTAAACATGTTTTCCCTCTAATATATGATGATATAACTTTGAAAATTATTTTGAGATAACAGAACTTCATTCTTCAGACATGTGTACTCTCACTTTTCCCCTAAAAGCACATATGTACATTTGAAAATTTAAGTTTAGGTTTTTATTGAACATATGTATATGTTGTAGGTGGACAACAGGTGAATGTCTTAAAAACATTGTTAACTACATATACATCAGGCTGCATTGCAATGTGTTCCTTAGGCATACAGTAGGCAAAATGAGTCAATGTAATCTGTAAATATATCTGAAGAGTAAAATTTATGGCCCCTGACATCGATTCCTAGAAATTGCATGGCTATACATAAATTTTATGTGTGTTCTGTAGAGCCATGAATTACTGAAGGATGCTGAGCAACCTGTTCCCTGTGCCCACCATCTCTCTGTAGCTTTAATATAGCAGTCCTTAACATCTCCTCAGGAGAACTCTTGACTCAGTCTCTGGACACATGCTTTGAAAGCTGATGACACTGCAGAACGTGTGTAGAAAGGAATGCACTTGCTTGTATTCTAGCAGTGACGGTAGGTCAGAACCATCAGAAAATTTCGAAATATGTGTCAGGAAAAATTGAAGGTAATAACATAAAATCATAGATTTCCTTCATACTCAGTGAACTTCTCATCTTAAATGAAGACAGTCTGTTGTCTAAATCACCCTCCTCCCCATTAGGAAGATACTTAAAGCAAAACTTCACGTTTATAAATGAGACAGAAAACAATCACTAGTTTTCTAAATTGTACCTGGGGGTTTTAACAGTCACACTTTGGCAGAGTATATTTACTCTCTCCTTTTCAAGAATAATATTTGAGTGAATCTGCGTGAATGCTTTCATTTAAAAGAATTAGGTGGCCTTGAAAGGCAAAACTCCAGTTATAAATTTTGTAAGGTGTTTTTTCAGACTCTTTTTCTGGACTTGCTCTGAAATTCTGCTTCTCAGAGACAAATCCTGGAAAAGCATGACTTAAACCCTTCCTTTTACAAATGAAAAAATGGATATTCATAAGACTGAAATGCCTGGCTAAAAATTTCAAAGCTGGCAGGTGAAAAAATTAGGACTCCCAGATCTCCCTCTCCCAGTATAGCATCTTTTCACCATGCCATGCAGTTTCACAAGTTTTTTGTTTGTTTGTTTGCTTATTTTTTTGCCCTGGCATAATAGGTTTATTTTTGTCTTCAGGTCCCCAATCAACTTTTTTGATAAAGAAGATTAATATGCAGTAGATTCTTTGGCCTTGGAGTTTGAGATGCTTTCCAAGTCCTTGGTAGCATATTTTTTTTAAGTTAGGCATTCCAAAGGCTTTTCGCAAGCATTAGTATTATGCTAATGACTTATGCTATCCATGTTGCATCTTTTGTTGATGAGGCAGAATATCCACTTAGCAAATGAACATTTACTCTTCTAAAATAAAATATAGGAAGTGGTATTAACAGTCAGTTTTAAGTGCCTCATATATCATTGCAATGCCTAAACATAAGTTTAGATTCATCGAGAGGAAAGAATACAATTATAACCTAAATAGTTTCAATTCACAGTCAACTTGTTTAAGGCAGAGGATCTACTTTTCTTAAAACTGTTTGTAAGGACTTAAGTGGATTTATAAGAACTCATACAGGACTTCTTTGAGAAAGAACAGCCTCTATAATTCTACACTACACAAATTAACTTGACTGCAGAGACTTAGAAGCTTAAAGTGCCCCACAGCTTCATGCTCCCAATACCTTTCCAGCCAGAAAATTCAAAGCCAAAGAAAAAAATTAATCATTAAAATAACTTAACTGTTGTCTCTGGCAGTCAACCAGAATGGAGAATACATAATGATGGTAAGGGCAGGACTGAGATCCATAAAAATCATACACATAGGATGTGTTCACCAAGAAATCAAATGCCAGGACAAGGTGACACTCTAGAAATGTAAGTGAAGGGTATTTTGGCTAAATGCAAGGAAGTCCTACTTTGCCTAGCACTTAGTAAATATCTTACCTTTTACAAAGTTGGAGATGGCACAGACATAACCCATAAGATGGGAAATGAGGGTGTTCAGAGGGGAGAACAGTGTTCTCCTGTGCAGACTACTACAGAAGAGGGGCTAAGCTGACCGTGTTGGGCAGTGTGTGTGTGTGTGTGTGTGTGTGTGTGTGTGTGGTCTTGTATCTGTCTATGCAAAGGGAATTTTCAATGAGAATAAAACTGCTCTATGCTCTATCTGCCCATGATGCCTAGGGCAGATCTTAAAGCAGATTTGTGAGTTAGGTGACTATTATTCTAAAATCTGAGTGCTTAACTTGCATCTCATTCACTTAGGCTCTTTTTCCAGCTTAGTAAAAGAAATCCCCAAACTAATACATCCAGTAATAGATAATGATTTAAGTTATTACCCGCCAAAATAAATTTTCATTCACGAAACAAAGACTTCCTAATAGTTGAATTTTACTCTGTGGCAGACACACTAAGGCAAAAATTTGGGGCAAGGCTCTACTCTGAGGCTCTCAAAACACACCTCTTTAAGGAGCTGGTTTTCTGCTTTGACTACTCATTTAGGAAGACCCTAAGAGTGTGTTGAATCATTGGATCCAAACAGCTGCTGCTAGAACAACTCACGAATGCCATATTTACTGATATTTAAGTGGATACCAGATTTATGACAGTAATTTACAAGTGTGGCCAGAACTGGGGTAACTGAAACATTTTTCACATGTCTCCTTCTTTAGTAGACAACAAAAAGAATGACCTAAACGCAACAGGTGACTTTTCCCCTTAAAACTATATCATTTTAGTATGCCCAGACACTTGTTCTTGGAGGATAAAGTAGTGGCACTCTAAGGATGTATCCTTTCTTGTTAATATGAAGATAGAT